AATCCAAGCGCGCAGGCAGCCGCCATCTCGCATCGCGCCCAGCGATCGGGGGCGCCCCCAGCGGGGCCTCGGGGACGCCTCCTCCTCTCCTCGTCCTCCTCCTCCTCTCCTCCTCCTCCTCCTCCTCGTCCTCCTCCTCCTCCTCCTCTCCTCCTCCTCCTCCTCCTCCTCCTCCTCCTCCTCCTCCGCCTCCTCCGACCCGGGTCAATCCAGACCCGGGGTCAGTCAGGCCCTGCAGGACCCTGCAAGTAAAGCGACGCGAAGAGCGGGACAAGATCGGATCGGGATGACTCGAAATCGCTGAGAATCGGCGGGTTTGGAGGATGTATTGGGCGCCGCGGCCGCTCCAGAGCGTTCCGGAACGCTCTGAGAGCGCTCCGGAACGCTCTGGAGCGATTTATCCCGATCCTAGCCCTGTTTTAGCAAGATCCTGCGGCATCCTGCAGGATCCTGCACCCTGGCCCGGGCCTGGGCCTGCAGGATGCTGCGAGGCCTGGCGCTCCGACTGACCCCCGTTGGCATCGGCCCCCGTCTCTCGAGCCCCAGCGAGCCCGCACCCAAGGTCACTCCGGCGAAGGGCCACTCTTGCGCGTGCAGTCGGCCCGCATCAGAAGGGCGCGGTGAGGATGCGAAGGGCCTTGGACGCCCCCTTCGAAGCTTCTCGAGCGGGGCGCGGCCAACGAAAGTGGCCACGCATGGGGAGGGAGGGAGGGAGGGAGGGAGGGAGGGAGGGAGGAGGAGGAGGAGGAGGAGGAGGAGGAGGAGGAGGAGACCGAGGAGGCAAGGATGCAAGGGCACCCTTGAGAAGGTGGCCCATCCTCACTGGGCGGGCTGACTGTAGCCGAGAATGCGCCGCTGCCGTGGCGCTCGGCCACGGCACCGCGTCCAGCCGCAGCGCCCAGCGGAACCAGCCGGCCCGCCCGCCGCGGAGGGCCGCCGCTGCCCGGGCGCACTCGCCGGCACCGTCCTCGAGGACGCCCTCTGCCTGCAGCCTGCGGCAGGGCTCGAGCGAGGCAGTGTTTTTCTCGTGCACGTTTCGTTGTCGATGTCCTTCGTGCTGTCTTCGTCCTGCCTCTGCTGCGGAGCTAGATTATTAATAATAATGATAATGATAATGATAATAATAATAAGAATAAGAATAATCATCATCATCATCATCATCATAATAGTAATAATAATAATCATAATAATAATAATAATAATAATAATAATAATAATAATAATAATAATAATAATAATAATACTCATAACAATAGCAATACTACTCATAATGATCATAATAATCATAATAATCATAATAATCATAATAATCATAATAATCATAATAATCATACGAATCAAAATAATCATAATAATAATAATGAAAATAAAATAAATAAAAATGATAATAATATTAAGAATAACAATAATAATAATATATCAAAAACAAAACAAAACAAAACAAAAAAAAAAGGAGGGGGGCCCGAAAGCGCCCAACACACACCGCTCGGCTCGGGCCCTGGCCTGCGGATCCAGTCGAGCCAGGCCGCGGCGCTCGTCGGCGTGGGGGCTGGCCATCCCAGCAGCGGCGAGGGCGGCACCGCTCCAGAGCTCGGCTCGACGTGCAGGCGAGCTCGAGCCATGGTCTCACGCCACTGGGATGGGACGCACAGAGACATACTAATACTGTATGTCCGCCTTGGAGGCGCGCGTCCGACCCGAACATATAGTATACCCATCTTGTAGTATATCGTTTCTCGAGCGGTGTGGCCAGAAAGCGCCCGCCACGACGCATATACTACAAGATTTCTCGGTGCGCGCGTCGCCCCTGGGGGGGCGACGAACACATAGTATAAGTATGTTGGGGGGATGCCGATGGGAGGTCCGAGAATTCGGACCGCTGAGCCGAACACAGACCACCACTGGACGACCACCACACACGGGCAGCGAAGATGTCGAGAGATGCCCCGACAACGCCCAGAGGCCAGTCACACCTGTTCGCATCCACGCATGGAGAGCTCAATATATTCACGCGCCAGTATCCTGCTCGTGGGAAGCACGCAGTCCTGCAGCGAAGTGTGGCAGGGTATGGCGAGTAGCTTACCCAATGCCGAGCAGTCTGCTCAGACCGCACGACGTTGCTTCACCTGGTGAGCGCAGTATACGGACGCCGCCTCCGAATAGCAGGAATCCTCGAACGGAGCAAGAGGCATGTACGGCAGAGAGCAAGCGCGACGGCGTGCCCGACAGGCCTGCGCGCCGTCGGATCCCAGCCGCTCCCTGCGCGACTGTGATGACGAGCACAGAGAGGAGGAGGAGGAGGAGGAGGAGGAGGAGGAGGAGGAGGAGTAGGAGGAGGAGGAGGAGGAGGAGGAGGAGGAGGAGGAGGAGGAGGAGGAGGAGGAGGAGGAGGAGGGGGGGAGGAGAAGGAGGAGGGGGAGGAGGAGGAGGATACCATGGAAAGCGCGGTGCGGCACTCTCTCCTACGGGAGCAGCCGAAGGCACGCCTGGCACAGAAACCGCTCTGGCATGCGATCAATCGGGGGATGAAAAAACGGCCCTACCCTGGGTTATAAGTGCGTGGTCCGTAGACCTCCTGGGAACCCTCAACGCCTAGAGCCGCCAGGACGCGGCACATCACGCAAGGTTTGCCCTGTCAGCCCACAGGAGTTTCAGCGCACAGCGCCTCGTAAACCAGGGTAGGGGCGTTTTTTCTGCCCTTGAATCAACAATGACAACTCGCCACCGCTGCCCGAGCACTGAATGGAGCGTCCGACTACTATGGGGAGCCCACAAAGGACGTACGCGCCCAGCTATGTACATGAACCCGGCCCCGCGATTCGCGAGACCCGCCGCGTTGTGCGAACATGTGTGCAGTGCGTGCTCTCGAAGCCAGTGTGGATTCATGTGCATGTACGTCCTTGGTTCGCTCCTGATGCTAGACCCCGACTCGCGAGATCCTTGGGCGCTCTCGACTGGACGCGTCAAATGGGGGGGCGGAAGACGGGTGCCCGTCTCGGGCCCGAAAGGCCCCCTCGGGGCCCTTTTGAAGGGCTCCTTCTCCGCAGCTCTCGCTGCCACCCATGCATTGCCCGTTCACTCGCGCCCAACTCGGGCGGGCCCCTTCTTGGCATTTCTGACGGGGCTTGTCGCGTGGCGTCTCCAGGTGCATCGGGAGCGCGGCTGGGACTCGAGACCTCCCACGCGGCCCAAGATGGTCTGAGGGCGTTCTTTTTCTGCCGCGGGAGTCGCAGCGGGCGCCGCGAGCAGCGCCCGCAGGCCCCCGCGCAGGCGCCTGGCGGCGGCCTCGGCGCGGGCGAGCTTATCCTGCATGAGAACGGCGGCGTCCGCTCGCAGCTGGGCGTCTTGCGAGCGCAGCTGCCCCGCCTGCGAGCCGCCTCCGACGCCCCCCGCCGCTCGGAGCTCCTGCAGGGCGTCGAAGCTGGAAACGACGTTGGCCAGCAGCTCCACGCGCTCCTGCTCCAGCGCCCGCAGGCCGTCCTCGGCCCTCCTCCCCGCCGCGTCGGCCTCGTGCGCAAGGCGCTCGCACCGCGCCTCCGAGTCCGCCAGCAGGCGCCCGCGCCGCTCCAGCTCCTCCTCCGCGCGGGCCAGCAACAGCCCCGAGCGCTCCTGCTCGCCCTCCGAGTGCGCGAGCAGGCAGCCCAGGCGCTCGCGCTCTGCTCCGGGCCAGCAGCGGCGCTCCCGCTGCTGGGCCTCCTCCGCCCGCGCCAGGCGCTGCTGCAGCACCGCCACCTCGTGCTGCAGCTTGCCGCGGGCTTCCTCTCCATCGGTGGCGATGCGCACGGCGTCCGCCTCCGCGGCGTCCGCGCGCGCGGCCAGCGCCCTCTCGCGCGCCTCCGCCGCGCGGCGGCGGCACTGCTCTGCGGCCAGCGCCTCCTGCAGCTCCGCCAGGCGGCCGCCGCCCTCCGCTGGCCGGGCGCCGCTAACGGGCGACGGCGCGCCGCCGTCGGGCGCCGCCACCTCGGCCGCCGGGCCGGCCGCAGGGCTCAGCGCGAGCAGCTCGGCGCGCACCAGCGCGGCCAGCGCCGGCGTGGCGAAGCGCAGACAGAGGCACCGGCCCCCGCGCAGGCGGAGGGCCACGGCGGCGCCACTGCCCTCCTCGCCGGCCTCCACGCGCTCCAGCTCCTCGGGGGGAGCCAAGAAGTGCCGATACCGCTGCTCCCTGGACCTCTCCCAGGGCGCGTTCGGACCAGAATTTCGAGGCGAATCCAGCGGTGGCGGCGAGGCGAGGGCCTCCGAGGAGCCCCAAAAAAGGGGGAAAACGAGGAAAGTGTAGAGGCATGGGTACCTTTGCCTAGCCTGCTCCTCGAGCGCGACGCTGTGGATGGCCGAGGCTGCCTCGCCGTCGGCGGCGGGCAGCGGCCCTGGCGGCAGCGCCAGCAGCCGCGCGCTGGCGCGGTCGAGGCGGAGCCGCGCGGGCCGGCCCTGGGCGGACGCGCCCGTGGACAGGGCCACCGGGATGCCCTCCTCCAGGCGCCGGCCGGCGCGGGCCGCCGCCATGGGCGCGCCCCTGCCCCGCCGGGCCGCCCGCAGAGGGCCGGGGCCGGAGCCAGATGGCTGCGGAGGTCGCCGGGGGGGCTCCGTGCCGGGGATCTCTGGGAGGCCTCGGGGCCCTCCTGGAGGCACCGGGGGCCAGCCCAAGAGAAGCGCAGGGGTACCCTTTCCGAGCAGGGTCAGTCCCTGAGGGCCCCGGGGGCCCGACACCAGACGGGGACGCCCGGCGCAAGAAGAACTGCAACGCCCTGATCTCAGGGATGCCCGGGTACCCATACCGCGCCTCCCCAGACCTCTCCCGGGGTGCCTTCCGATCCGAATCTCGAGGCGAATCCAGCGGTGGCAACGAGGGCCCCCGAGGAGGCCACACAAAGGTGAAGCGCAGCGGTATGGGCACCTCTTCCGCCTCCAGCTTTGCATGCGCACGCGCCGGGTGGCCTTCCTTGGACGGCCTCCGTCGACCGCGCGAGGGCGCCAAGGCGCGCGCGTGGCCGGCCCCCACGCGCTCAGTCGTCCTCCCCGCGCGCCGCCGAGTCGCCGGCGAGCCCCAGCAGCAGCAGCTCGGCCAGCGCGGCGGCCGCCACGCCCAGCGCGGCCCCCCCGGCGGTGTCGCTCATAGGGGGCCACAGGCAAACCCTACACCCCTACCCCCCACCATTTCTGAGGGGGAGGGTGGGGTTGACTTCGCTCGGGAGCTCCCAGTCGAGGTGAACCCCACCCTCCCCCTCAGAAATCGTGGGGGGTAGGGGTAGGGTTCGCCTGTGGCCCCCTAGCTCACCCAGTGCGCGTCCGCGAGGACGCGCAGCGGACCCATCACCTCCGCGGAACCCCTGAGATCTGCGCGTGGCACTTGTGGTTCACAGCCCGTGCTGTCGCCGGGTCTCGGGCCCCGGGGCACTCACAGATCGATCTGACTCGCAGAAGGCTTCCGAAAGGTTGAGTCTACCCCGAAATCCGATGTTGGGACGCCAAGATCTCAAAGTACTAGGGCTCGTGACTTTTCGCGACAACGCCGGATCTCAGGGGAGGCACCTGTCCACCAGGACAGTGTCTGGCCAGAGCCGCCCCAAAGGCCCCAAGGGAGTGGCGCACACGTAGACGCTCCCCAGCGGCCTCGGCCGGGAGAGCGCAGACGCCACGCGGGGGCCCAGGATAGCCCTGGCCAGGCATGGTGCTAAAGTGCAGGCGCCTCCTCCCTGAGATCCGACAGTGCGAAAAATCGCGCCAACGCAAACAACAACAACAACAACAACAACAACAACAACAACAACAACAACAACAACAACAACAACAACAACAACAACAACAACAACAACAACAACAACAACAACAACAACAACAACAACAACAACAACAACAACAACAACAACAACAACAACAACAACAACAACAACAACAACAACAACAACCAACAACAACAACAACAACAACAACAACCAACAACAACCAACAACCAACAACCAACAACCAACAACCAACAACCAACAACCAACAACCACCAACAACCAACAACAACAACAACAACAATTACTAGCACGTGGGGACACTCCGTTCTCACCAGTGCCAGGGTTTTCATAGGAGGCGGGCAATACCCCCACTTTGTGGGGGGGCCGGTTCAAGCTCTACCAAATTTCCAAACGACTCTTCGCCACCACCCACACCCAGCTTCCCGCCCTATGACGTTCGGACACTTCACTTCGTGGCATGCGGACGACCGTGGCTACTATTCAGGGCCCCGCGGCCGACGACGACGGCGTGCGCGCGCGAAGAAAAAACGAATGTGTCCCGCATGGTATTATTTGACAGGGATGATGGCCCTGGCAGGTGCGCAACCGTTGTCGCAGAAGTTCGAAAAAGTTGCTCGCAAAAGCCCGTTTGACAGAAATGTTTAAAAAGTGTTGGGTTTCCTACGAATCCGCAAGAGCGCGCGGGATGAGATTTTGACATTTTTTTTTGTTGAAAAACCATTGGTTTTTTGATGTTTTTATGTTAAAATCGCTCGAACACTAAGGTTTTGGAAGGATTTCGTCTTGCGCGCGCGAATGTCCACTTTACCTTATTTTTTGCAAGGGATTCTTGAAATTTGATTATATTAGAACAAGAAATGTCATTTTATAGTGTTTTTTGCAAGGGAAAACGGATTACAACAAAACAACCGGATCTGGATCACATCGTTTTACCTGAGGCTTCCTCACGAAAATGATGAAAATGTAGCTGCGGCCTAGGCGGCGCAGGGGGGGCGCGCACCAGGGGGCCCAACAATAATTATTCTTTAGAATAAATAATGTTCAACAACAACAACAACAACAACGACGACGACGACGACGACGACGAAGACAACGAGGACGACGACGCGACGACGACGACGACGACGACAACAACAACACCACCAACAACAACAATCATTTAAGACTGTTCGCCCTTATCTGCTCGAGTGTCCAATAACGCGTGTTTCCCAAACCCGCGATACCCGCCCTCTTCGTCTTCGATCGAACACCTTTTGGGGGGTATACCTTTCTTCCCTGCAGGCCGGGCCCCAGCAAGCGGCGGGGCGGCCGCGGACCGTCGGCCTGGCCAGCGGCAGCGCTGATCGGCGGGGCGGCCGCGGACCGTCGACCCGACCCCAAGAGGGACGGACAGGGGACCGACCACGACGACGACGACGACGACGACGACGACGACGACGACGACGTCGAAGACGACGGCGACGACGACGACGACGACGACGCGACGACGAGCGAAAGCGAGAGCGAGAGAGAACGACAGCAGGGCCACGAAGGGCACGAAGTAGGCCACGAAGGGCGACAGCGGGGACACGAAGGGAATGCGTATGGGGCCACGAAGAGCGCGAACGAGCGGGGGCCACGAAGTGCAGATAATGCGGGGCCACAGAAGGCAACTATGGGGCCACTGAGGGTAGCAACTGGGCCACGTAGGACAATGAGGGGGACACAAATGGCGACAGCGGGGCCACGAAGGGCACGCACATGGGGCCACAACGGGCGCGACTCCTGGGCGCCTGGGTGTCAGGAGCGCAGCGCTTGGGCAAATTGCAAGAAATCCCAACGCAAGGCCATTTTTCAGTAAGTTGCAAGCAAGTCTCCAGCGAGAGCGCGACTCCAGACCGCCGGGAAAGCGATTCCTGAATAAATTGTAAGGAAGTCCCCAGCGAGGGCGCGATTCGTGAATAAAATGCGAGGAAGTCTCGGGCGGGAGCGGGGGTCCTGGCTGAATTGCAAGCAAGTCTCCAGCGAGAGCGCGACTCCAGAGCGCCGGGAGAGCGATTCCTGAATAAATTGAAAGGAAGTCCCCAGCGA